CATCAGTCCTTCAGGTTTGGTGTCAGCAGGCAGCTGGGTGAACCTGACCTGCTCCAGCAGAGCCAAACCTCCAGTCAGCAGCTTCACCTGGTTCAAGAAGAGCAGAGATGGAGCTGTGAAAGTATCTGAAGGAGAGATTTACAGCTTCAGTGTAACAGATGGAGGAGTTTATTACTGCGTGGCCACTAATGATCTGGGCAATCAGACATCAGCAGAGATTAACGTGACTGTTGCAGGTAAAGTTAAACTACACCAATGATGTGGCAAATTAAATAAGATCTGTTTTTGGGAATATTATATTTTTTTTCATATTTTTCTATCAGGACATCAGAATAATGGTTCTTTACCACTGAGTCCACTTCTTGGAGGCATCCTTGGGTTGGTCTTACTGATCTGTTTAATTATCTTTGCTTTGTAAGTATCTCACATCAAAACAGAAATCATGTTCAGCTACTGTCACGGATATTTTAGCTACATATTAAAAATGTCCTTTTCCTTTCAGGCTTACTTTACTCACAAAAATATTTAACAAACAAGTGACTATAGTTGATGTGTCTACCTTTTATAGCAGAGCTCTCAGGTTGTTAAAGTACCAAACTCAGCAAGAGACTCAGGTAGGAAAATACGAAGTTTTAGTTTGTTCAGATGATTACTAATTTCATCAGGGCAATATGTTCACTTTAAATTGTCTGAAAATAGCAATAAGAATGGTTTGAAATGCAGCCACAAACCCTCCTGGTTTATTTCATAGAGTCAAAGAAGTGAAGAGCTGGTTGTTGAAGAGCCGACAAGTAAAACAGAAGGAGGGGAAGAAAACATCCATTATGGAGAGATCAACTTCTCTGAGCCTGGATATGAAGAATCCTTTGTCTCAGTGCAGGACAGAGGACAGCAGCAGGATACGGTGTACGCACAGGTGAAAGTCAACAAGCCAGAAAACAGCTTAACACAGAGAGCTCATGGCCAAGAGGAACTCTACGCTGAGGTCCGAATAAGTGAGAACAGCTGTGTTAAGACATTACATTACCAAAGTCCATTAACAAAGAAACACAGAAATCAATGAAGTTAACCCAGCAAACCACTTCCTGCATATTTTGGGGGGGTTTCTGCTTTCCCTTTAAACTTCATTTAGATGCTTGCATATCTGTCTCACTAGTGGAATAAAGTTTTTCTAAGATTTCTGGAAACATCACTGGATCAGAAACATCACCAACATGATGTTGAGAGTTCACCTGTGAAGTGATAATCTGACCAGCTCTCGTTAAAGTGGCCAGTCAGATACTTCCAGATCACCTCACTTCATTACGAATCTCCCTCTAATCAAATATGATTGTTTGACTACGCCCAACGTTTCATGGAACAGAGAAAGTTTCTGGTGGATTTTAATCCAACACATATTGCTTCAAGCTCTGTTGTAAAGCTTACAAAACAATATTGCAATTCATACAGTGTCTCCCTAATCTCTGGCTGCAACATCTAAAAGGAAAGAAAACTCCACATGAAAATAGAACTTGATTTACAAAAAACTCTTAAGAATTAGAGAGTGGAAACTTCAAATATTTGCCGATTTTGTTTTAGTCTGATGTTCAGCCCTTATTTATGAGCATATACCACTGCCCAGACCACAAAGCACTGAACCCTACAAATACTCCTCCGAGTGATATGATCCAGACAGCACATAAAGTGGCCTTTCTGGCCTTGAGCACACCACAAATGTTAAAACAAGTCAATATTGACCCAGCAGTTCAGTTTCTGCTGCACAGTTACAGTGGGGCAAAAAAGTATTTAGTCAGCCACCGATTGTGCAAGTTCCCCCACTTAAAATGATGACAGAGGTCAGTAATTTGCACCAG